TTTAGATCTTCATCTTTGGCGTTGTGTGAGTCCACCAGGTTGTTAAATGTGGAGGCGAATTCTCCCATCTTAGTTTCAATATGTGAGACTCTGTCTCCCACTTGGCTGATATCTGCATCATATTTCCTCATCATATTCTGCATATCTGTGTGGAGCGAGCCTCTCAGGGACATGAGCATATCTTTCAAAGTGGAATCTGAGACTGGTTGATTCAGAGTGGGGTATGTGTCTATTGGCATAATTAGTTCCCTGGTGTCATCATGGGAAGAGACAGGGCTCACCTATATTGGGCCTCTGGAGCAGGGGCCATCCGTGGCCTTGATGTCAGTGATCCTCTGCTGGCAGGAGAAGTATGCCGATTTGAGGAGGCAGAGGGCCTCTCTGGATGTCCGGCATTAGAGGAGAGGCTGTCTTGGGATGCCCTCGAGCTGCCCCGGACGACGAGCGGGGCGAGGTCCCGGCGCCATCTTGGGCCTTCTGAGAGGACACCATCCGCGGCCTGGATTTCGCCGGGCTACGAACATCAGGCGAGTCCTGTTGTACGGCGGCAGTAGATGTGTGCTCCGGATTGTGAGTATGAGGCGGGTGACCTGCCCGGGAGCTCCTTGAGCCACCTCCCGACCCCCCCGGATGCCGAGAGGGGCGAGGACCCGGCGCCATCTTGGTTCCGTTTGTCCGGGCCGAAGAAGAAGTCAGTAAGTTTTCTTGGGCGGGTGGCTCCCCCCCGTTTTTTGCTCATCTCTGCTACTATATCGATCGAGAAGAGAGAAGTAGGGGATAAAATCTGGCCCCAAATGCTTGTTAGGAGTGCCTCAAGGACGGCTGCGGCTCAGCGCTTCAGAGACCTGCTGCCATCCACCCTCCACAGTCACATAAAGTCAAACAGCTGAAGTGAATATTCATGTTTGTGACTGCACTACCTCATTCTTGTACATGAGCATGGTTGGAATGTGCCTTCAAATCTAGTGGTCTTTTGAGGTCTGTGGTTTTAAGGACAGTGCTTATGATTGGAAGCATTTGTCAAGGATAGATGTGCTTTAATTTCAAGATCCAATTTGCTGCAAGCAAGAGAACGTTGCCGCTTATATGCTTATAAAATGAGTGGATCCAGTAAGAGCGACAGATTCAAGCCATATGAATGATTAATGACTTTTACTGACTCCTTTGTGTGTCTCGTGAAGACCTCTTTGCTGAATTAGAACCACACTGTTAAGTACAAACTTGGCATTTGACTCCATACATTCCCATTACATTTGCAAATTAGTTTTGATTACAATGTAAAAAAATGAAACAACCTTAGGGAAACTAATCAACCTTCAGAAAAACTGCAAGAGGGGAAAAAAATGAAATATATACACCCTATGGCTGATGGGTGACTCAATAAATGAGCTCTAATAAGATTAGCCAGGGTCTCCCCAGGGAAAGCACAAACTAATTTCACCTCCCACGCTCAGTCAGCATCGGAGCTAGATGTAGACTAAAAGCAATTAGCAAATGTAATATACAATCACTCAGATTTACTTTCAAAATAGCTGTTCTGATGTTTTACATTGTCTTGAGAAAGGGGTTTATATTCAGAATAAGGTGGATCTATTAGGGAAGCATCTCCATATGTTAGAAACAAGAAATACAGCTAGGTGTGGTTATTACTCACAGGAATATGTTGGATAGGGCTAGGCCAAGGAGTACCCCATGCAAAAATGAATAGATAGAGATTTTCCGAATTACAAATAAACGTGAATAAGAAATCAACTTTTCATGTCATATGCCTGCTGAGATCCCTGCCTTTTAACATTCCCATGTGATTAAATTCACAGTATATATGTGTTTCCGGTTTTTACTTAATTTGTAAGTTGTGATCAGCTGCTCTTATGATTATCACAGTTCCTAATTAAGCAATTAATCTTCCTGGTTCCACAATTTGGCTTCCTATCATCTTTCTGGCCCCAGCCTCCTGATTACACAATGAATCAGCATCATCACCTCTGTCCAGTGATCTACTTTACTAGCGAAGGTGTGTGTGTATAAAGAATAGCTGTCAAAAATGTCAAATCTTTTGACAAATTAAATAGTAAACATACTATATATACATATTTGCAGGGCTCAAAAATCCGCTCGTCTCTGACGAGCAGACGGTGGAACCCGACAAGCAGCTTCCCGGCCGGCCGTTGTAATTACATAAGGCCGGCCGGGAGCTTTACAGTTAAGCGATCGAGCGTCTCGAGAGACGCTCGATTGCTTGTATCAGAAGCTGTCACTGCCGTTGCCGGTCCCGAGATCCGCTGTGCCCCATGCGGCCGGGACCGGCACGGCTCTGTGACAGGAGATCAAAGGGAGTTCAGTATACGAACTCCCTTTTCATCTCCTGTCAGTCCCCGAATGCAGAAAGTGATGTATATTACATCACTTCCCGCATTCAGTGTCACTCTCCAGCTAGAGAAGCTGATGAAGCCGATCTCTGCTTCATCAGCTTCTCTGGAGGTCCCTAGGTGACATTAGGGGTCTTGGAGACCCCTGATGTCTCCATAAAGAGGACCCGTCATGTAAATTGGCTATTCCATAGGGGGCTTCTTAGCCCCCCATGTAATAGCAATAAAGTTGTATGTAAAAAAAAAAAAAAAAAATTTTTTTTTTTTTTTTTACATAAATGTTACTTTTTAAATTATATAGTAAAACAAAATACGCCACGTGGTGATTATTAACCTCCAAAAGAAAGCTCTATCTGTCCCCAAACTTTTTTAACATAAATTGCAAGGCTATGGTCCGATCATGCTGACTGGTGACATTTTTGACTGACTGGTGAGACACTATCACATTTTTCAAGCCCTGCATATTTGTATTTTGCTATTTACTTTTACTACTTAAATTTAATCCCAATAATTTAAAATTAAGGTGTCTGCATTGTTATTGCAGACAGCTGAATCTGTGGAATATTTCACAACTAAACAATTTCTTTGTTTTCTTCATGCCAGGCCATCTTTTTAGACCAACGCTGGATGAAACATTTACAGATTTATAATCTGTAGCAAAGGTTCCGTAACCTTTCCTCTGGCCTCACCAACAGTGCTTGTTTTGTTGATCGCTTTTTAAGAGTACAAGAACATCTAGATATCTGGCTTAGCTAGTTATTAATCCGCAGGTTTGAGAACCTATGGTCAATATTTCATTGTCAGACAAATGTAAAAATATATAAATATAAGTCCACTCAGATAGTGTTTATCCCTGCCACAGGTAGGCGGGGGATTGCTAAACTGTCACAGCCATGAAGTGCCTACACCTATAGTTGTCTGCACATATCTGCAGCAGCCTCTCAGATATTCATGTCACAGCTAAATGGAAGCTCCAACGCTTCTGATTAGTGTTTGGGTTTTCTATTAAGCCCCACCTCCATGCATTCTATTTGACCCATAACCATTATGGGCAGCCTCACTGGCCAATATGAATGTGCAGAAGATAGAGTCAAGCAAGCTTTGTTATTGTAAGAAAGTGCCAACGATTTGCTTATCTGAACTGCCAGGGATTGACAGGAAGAGTGGTAGGCTGCTGTAGGCATTACTCGTGGGAGCTTTCATACTTGAAGCAATGTATACCCCTTCTGACCCCTGAAACAGAGTTTATTTATGTATCAGGAGTTCTATGATGTCCTAAAGCCAGAAGGAAAAGGATTAAGTGCTATTTTCATCTAAACTCTCATAACTTAATCTCAGTGTAATTTAAGAAAAAAAAACAGTTTCTGCTAGAGCAATAAATAAACACTTAAACTAATGATAATTAAATATTTTAAAAATTACTGTAACAAAAACTTAATTTTTTTTATATACACACAATGAAGGGAATTTATGAAAACTGGAGCAACAAAATCTGGAGCAGCTGTGCATGGCAGCCAATCAGCTTCTTTCTCTCATTTTCAAATCTTAACTGAACAAACTGAAGAGAGAATCGGATTGCTTATCATGCACAGCTGCTCCAGATTTTGTCTGCTCCAGTTTTGAAAAATTCCCCCCAATGTTAGACTAAATGGTAAATTCTGCTTTAAAATTCTATTATGAGCACTTCCAAGATTTATCAGCCTTGACCTCTAATTGGCTCTTCTACATATCCGACCTAAAAAGTATATAGAAAATTACAACTGGTGATATCCAGAAAATGTATAGCTGAAATATAGGCAACTATGAGGTATCTATACTGGCACTGTAAGAGCCTGCATTCATCTTTACCTCTTCCTGTCCTCAAGCGCATGGTGCATAAGTTATGTGTCTGGTGGTTTCATATAACCCAGAAATGGACAGTTTTCTGTCTGACAATAACACAGACATGAAGAAAAACAGAGGTAAAACCCATTTAATTATACTATTGCCTTATCTAAGTTACTTTTCAACCAAAATGATTGAGCAGGGTTCTCATTATCAGGCATGTGATACAATACTGTCCCTGAATTAACTTGAATTAAAGGCAGAAATATTTAATACATAATTTCTATAAGACCTTCTTGGACTTGTTTTCACCAGCTCCTTGCATTCAGTAGACTTTTACCATCGTTGTGAAAAAATACTAAATCTAGTTTTTGGCTGCAACCCCTTACATAGCTAACAGGAGTCACTGAGAGAAATAATGCCTCCAAATTTTATCTTATAGCAAAGTTGTCTTTAAAATGTTGTGCTTTATGTATATTTTATTTCCCTCCCTGGTCATTTGCAGTTGTGAGAATTATGGGATTGGTGAGTTATGGGCCAGCCATTTAAGATTATGTGCCACATCAGGCTTCTCATTTTACACACTGTTACTCTAGTACTTAACTGTTATGAATAAATAACACCAAAATGCAGTTATAGCTATTTTTCTGCATGCTCCAGTTTTGGGACAAAAAAAGGTTTATTTTTACCTAATGTAAATCTTTCAATATATGTGGGATTGACATAACAGGCACTATTGTAGAAGTAAAGAATGTATTTTCACTTATTTAACATTTACAATGCATTTTGTATTTCTTTATTCTCTAGATTGGGAGAAAAGGATTGAATACAACATTGGTTCTGGAAGTGTTGCACTATTTCCTAACATCCACTTGGAGACGTGTGATGGACCAGTATCCTCAGTACGAACTAGTGTTGAACTGCAGACCAATCATATTGGAAAAGGTTGTGATCATGAATCATACTCAGATACATCCTTGCAAAACTTGTGTGGTAAGTCTAGATTCATGTTATACTGTCATGCTCTAGATGCTGGTGGAGGAGGGATTGCTGCTGTATAGTTTTGCTTTGTGTACTAGATCATTTGTTGTTTGAAGTTTACAAAAGGAGGATGTTTTCTACCACAGGCCCAATATTCACAAATTGTTCTATTTTATCAAAATTTGCACCCAGCCTGGAGTTAGATTTTAAAGCACTGAATACTAGGAGCCAGTAACATAGCTGCATATCCATATGTATAAATATGTGCAATGTCCACATATCCATGTCCATATGTGCAAATATTAATATTATAGTTATAATCAATCTCTCCTGCATTACATATGAAGCGCTCACCCCCGAAGGAGCCGCTGAATGATCGGGTCTTCCATAGCCTGTCTAGGGATTATTGAAAACACATGGCTGCCCCAATGGCACTTACCACTTCCAGTGGTTACCGACAGATTGAAGTCCAGACAATAGCTCCAAGATGATTCTCTTTATTTCCGAACTCCAGGGAGAGAGGGAAAAGGGTCAGGCACATCCAGCATGAAGGTAGACTCCTTGTACTTGAAACAGAGCAAAGTAACTGCTGCCACCACAGACTTGGACCTTTAAGCCATACAGGCAATCTGTGTGCAGAACTTCTGGCAAGCAGTACTGTCAAGGGTCTTGTTCAGGTTCAACTTCAGACATGAGTGGCTGACCACTGGGCCTCCAGGCTAAGGCCCCAGTGTCCAGGCCTAGGCCCCAGCTCAGGCCTAGTCCATTCTATCTCTTCAGCAGCAAGCATCCTGCCCCAGGCCAGGAGGGCCCTGGGGAGGGGAAGGAAGAGACTGTTGCATCAGCCACACTCAGCATTTATCTCCTCTCCCAGCATGCATCACTGCTACTGTCCTGCAGTGTGTCAGGGGGGTACGGCTGGGCCGTGAGTGGAACCCCTTGGCAGGGGCGGCAAGCCAAAGTCCGAGGTCGTGGTACACAGGGAAAATCCAAGAAGAATAGTCAGGTCCAATCCGGGTCGAGGCAGGCAGCTAGTTTCAGTAACGGAAGGGTAAGCCAAAGGGTCGGTAATCAAGAGTCCAAGCAGAGGTTCAGGAATAAAGACAGGTTCAAGGCACAGGGAGCTGGGAGATCACACCATAGGGATAGAATAACTCAGCAATGAGCCAGGGCTCTGACTGGGCTTTTATACTCAGTGGAGGATTGAGACCACTCCCCGGCTACCGAGGCAACCAGGTAGCCTCTCCATCAGGAGCCAATGGCGAGAGAGGGGCAGAGGGTGTGTGCTGGGAACCTCCCCCAGCAAGGATCACACCTGACACCAGTAGCAGGTGCACTACGCGCACTTGCCGTGCATGCGTACCCGCAATCCTGGTACCAGGGGTCCTGCCAGGAAGGGGAACCCGTGCCCCCCACCGCACATGGCCACCCCGAGGAGAGGTAAGCCCCCTAGTACCCTGACACAGTGATTGGCTGGGAGACATAAATGCCCAAAGCAATCCTCATTGGCTGTTCTGCCCTGTGTGGTAACACACCCACACACAGGCAGACACAGCTTCACAGATTGTTCTGTCACAGTTGAACTGAACATAGACTATAGAACTATTTTACCACCCCTATAAGTAGGGTGCTACACATACTTATCGTGCCCTGATGTCTTTCTGTTTTTTTTCTGTCACAAATTTAGATAGAGAGGAATGCCAAAAAAGGATCTAGTCTTTGGCCAGGTAAAGAATTGAGAAATACAACGGTTGAGCCTTTACATCTGCAGAACCTTCAAATATAAAAACAAACAATAAGGTGATCAGCACCTGTAGGTGAAATGTGAAATAAGAGCTACCGAGCACTAAGGATATAAATAAATAACTAGAAATGTGAAAAACAATATTGTGCCAATATTGTGGTGTTCTCTGAGATACTGCCGGTGCCAAGAGTCACTCCGGACAGACAGCGCGAGTTAAGGGAACTTAACAAGTGGCTCCGGAACTGGTATCGGAAAGAGGGCTTTGGTTTCCTGGAGAACTGGGCTGACTTTTCAGTTGGTTACCGGCTTTTCAGCCAAGACGGGCTGCATCTTAATGGGAAGGTGCAGCATTTCTGTGGGACTGGAGGAGCTTTTAAACTAGATAATGGGAGGAGGGTAAAATAAAAACTACAACATTAAATAATAAACAAGTAAACATGACTAATAACACAGAAGGACAAAATACAGGATTAGATAGTGGGCTCACTCCAGTCAACATAGTAAAAGTAGTCAATCAAGCCAACATAGAGAACACACTCAATGTAGTCAATAAAGTAAATCCAAATACCCAAGGTGATCCAATTAGGAATGGATCAACCATAACAAGAATAATTGAAAAAAGTAGTGGGGAGCAAACGTCTAACCAATAAAAGTACAAAAATTAAATGTATGTTCACCAATGCTAGAAGTCTAGCAAATAAATTAGAAGAACTTAAAGTTATGTTACTCGAGGTGAACTACGATATAGTGGGAATAGCAGAAATGTGGTTAGATAGCGCACACGATTGGGCTACTAATATAGAAGGGTACAACCTGTTCAGGAGGGACAGGCTTGCAAGAAGGGGGGGGGTTAAGCATATATGTTAAAAATAACCTAATTATGCACATACGTGACAATATCACGTCAGATGGTGGAGATGACGTGGAATCTTTATTGCTAGAACTAGATACAACGTACCTTAGCCGTAAACGTATTGTGGGTGTCTGTTATAAACCTCCGAATATAGGGGAAAAGGAGGAGGCACATCTACAATCCAAAATAGAAATAGCTGGGAAGCAGGGAAATGTTGTGGTAATGGGCGACTTCAATTACCCAAGCCTCAACTGGGCTAATGGAACTTCCCATTCAGCAAAGGCGGCTCGTTTTCTTAACATTTTGCGAGACAATTTCATGGATCAGATGGTTCAGGTCCCAACTAGGAAAAATGCAATCCTAGATCTGATCATCTGCAATAATACGGAGTTAGTTGAGGATATTGTAATCGGGGAGACACTGGGTAATAGTGATCACAAGGTGATTGCTTTTAATATTGGGTACAGGAAAGGGAAGTGGGCTGGTCGGACGAGAAGCCTAAACTTCAGAAAGGCTAACTTTGATAAACTACGCAATATAGTGGGTGAAATCAAATGGGAAAATTATTTAATGAACTAAACTTTGACCAGAAGTGGGACTTTTTCAAGAACAAATAAAAAAAATGCTACTATCAAGTGTATACCGTTGGCTAACAAAAGTTCAAAAACGAAGCATATATGGCTAAATAAAACAGTAAAACAACACGTTAAGGAAAAGAAAGTGGCATTTACTAAGTATAAAACGGGGGGACGGGACAGTATTGGCATTCCAAAACTACAAAGAATGTAATAAAAGATGTAAACTAGTAGTCCGGGCAGCTAAAATTGAATGTGAGAAGTATATTGCCACAGTTAGTAAAAGGAACCCCAACATTTTTTATCAATACATAAACAGTAAAAAGGGGAGAAAGGAAAAGATAGGCCCAATAAAGGACAAAAATGAGAGGTTGGTCACAAACGATAGGGAGAGGGCCGAGGCGCTAAATACTTTTTTCTCGTCGGTATTCACCAAGGACAAAGATGGGTTTAATGTACATGATAAAACACAACATTTAACAGAAAATACACCTCAGTGGTTGACTGGAACTGGGATACAAAATAGGCTTAAACTACTTAATGCAAATAAAGCATTAGGACCTGATAATCTACACCCCAAGGTACTCAAAGAACTAAGCCAGGTAATAACGAGACCATTGTTCCTCATTTATTTTTAAGGAATCCATAATGACTGGTAGAGTGCCAAGCCACTGGCGGAGGGCTAATGTGGTACCTATATTAAAAAAAGGGTCAAAATGCCAACCCGGGAACTACAGACCAGTTAGTCTGACATCCATAGTATGCAAACTGTTAGAGGGAATTATTAAGGATTACTTAGTGGAATTCATACGATTTGAACGGTGCTCGGGAGACAAATGCCGAACGGGCCGTTGTGCGCACCCGCACACTGCCCGTTCAGCATTGCGGTCATTGGAAGCCCGCCCCTCAGGGGGGCGGGCTTGCGATGATCGAGAGTACGATCTTCCTGTCCAAGATAGGCAGATCGTACGTTTTTTTAATCACTTTACAACCATCGCAAGACTAAGGTCTTGCGATGGTTGTACAGTGTATGGCCACCTTAAGGATAATCACACAATGCAGGCAGACCTTCACCTCCACCCAGTGAGTTATGATAACAAGTGAATGCTCATCAGGGGAGGTACATCCACATAGCTAGGTCAAATGTGCTTTTTCCCTTCTTAATGGGGGAGGAAAGCCCATGGACAGAAAAGGCGATAAGATTTCCTCAGATCACAGGTGCCAGCATAAATCCAGGAGGTATAGATTTTCGATTATGCAGCGCCAACACTATTGTGTTGGCGCTGCATAATCGAAAAATATAAATCCAGGAGGAAAGAATAAAAGGACAGGGACATAGTGTGTAACGTCCAATAAAATGCAATTTATTAAATTTAAAAAATGCGTACTCACAATGGTGCAAACAGTACAGGCATTATATATTGCTGCATCCAACTAGCAAGGCAAATGGCAGCAAAGCGATGAAAAACGCCCATTCGTCCGGCTCAGCTCAGTGCAGTGCCATCAAAAGATCTGCCCTACGTACGTTACATCAAAACATGTGACTTCATCAGACCCCTGATGAACTTATTTTGAACTTATTTGTTTGAAGGCTCATATATGTGATTCATTTATATATGTTTAATTGTATTAGATGTGTATGATTATTAGTACAGCACAATATTGTTTTTCACCTTCTAATATAAGATGGGGAGGGAGCTAGTTATATGTTGACAGACTAGTGGCACCTGGGCCCAGCAAAATTTATATTCACACATCTATTAATCTTACCATACAGCTTGTCAGAGGTACTTTTCTAGGCACAGAGCTCCTATTTCACTTGTAGGTGCACGTCATTTCA